TCTGCTTTATGTGTTATGCATCAAAGAACATACACATGCATGTATGAATGTAAGCATGTACATAAATATGTATCGTGTGCCACAACACTTTATTCCATTTACTTTCAGTAATTCCATTTCGTAGAGCAAGGGAGGAATGAATCCAACTTTTAGGGGAATTCGATAATAATCCTGTTTTATGGTAAAGCCCAAACAGGGTACACAAGATATATCGATATTCTTGTCTTGTCTCGTGGATACAATTCAATCGGAAAGTTCATTGACTTCAATTAGCCCGTACTAGTACTTACCACGGATATTTATATCCACGTATCCTCTGGGTAGAAATCAAACACCCGTTTGGGAGCGAGCTAAAGTGAGAAGGCGTAAAACTTCGCGTGTACTGGGTATAAAGGACGACAAACGTATAATTTAAGGGTATGCACCTGCAATATCCGGACCCTTAATAGCGAAGGTGCTTCTGCCCGGCTGGTTGATGTCCTCGGGAAGACAAAGGCTGACATCACCGCCATCCAAGAAATGCGATGGACGGGGCAAGGAAAAGTAAGCGTGAATCCTTGTGACGTCTACTACAGTTGCCATGTAAAGGAGTGCAAATTCGGTGTTGGATTCGTGGTAGGAGAGAGACTCCGTCGCCGAGTACTGGCGGACCGGTGGACGAACGTCTAGCCACAATCAGCATCAAAGCTAAATTCTTTAACATCTCGCTCATCTGCGCCCATGCCCCGACGGAAGAGAAGGATCAGGCGTCCAAGGATTTCTTCTATGAGCGCTCGGAACGTACATATGAGCGCTGCCCCCGACACGATGTCAAAATCGTGCTTGGCGATTTTAATGCCAAGGTGGGCAAGGAAGGGATCTTTGGCGCCACTATCGGAAAATTCAGCCTCCACGACAAAACGTCCCGAAACATGGTAATATGTAGTACTAGGTTCCAGCATAAGAACATCCACCAAGCTACATGGCTGTCTCCAGATCGAAAAACGAGAAACCAAATCGATCATGTGGTGATAGACGGAAGGCATGCTTCAAGCGTTTTAGACGTACGTACACTCCGAAGGCCAAACATCGACTCGGACCACTACCGTGTTGTAGCCAAGATACGCACCCGCCTCTGTGCAGCAAAAAAAGTGCGCCCAACAATGCAAGGAAAGCTTAACGTCGAAAAGCTGCAATCACAACAGACGGCCAATTTATTCGCCAATCGACTTACACACCTGTTCAGAGCACTCTTCAACAATCCGACATACGTGAGCAGTGGAACCACATTTCCCGATCATTAAGTACCGCCGCCGAAGAAGTAGTTGGATTTCAGCGAGCCCGAAATAACAACTGGTACGATGAGGAATGTCAAGAATCCGCAGAGAAAAAAGATGAAGCCAGCGAGCATGTGGGACCGTTATAGGGAACAGAAGAAGGAAGCGAGACGTATTTGCCGCAATAAGAAGAGAGAGGCCGAAATAGCTTGAGCTTGAGTGCGAAGAGCTTGAGATGCTGGCCGACAGGAAGAACGGCCGAAAATTCTACCAGAGGGTTAGGCGACTTACGGAAGGTTTCAAGACCGGGGAGAACTCCTGTAAGAACAACAATGGCGACCTAGTGACCGATGTCTAGAATATACTTAAATTGTGGAGGGAACACTTTTACAACCTACTGAATGGAAGCAGAAGACGAACCCGAGTCCCCAGCCGATGATGATGGAGTAGCTGTCCCACCGCCTGACTATGACGAGGTACGAATAGCGATTACGTGGCTGAAAAACAACAAATCTGCTGGAGCTGACGGCCTGCCAGCCGAGCTATTCAAGTACGGCGGCGGGGAGCTGATGAGGTGCATGCATCAGCTCATATGCAGAATATGGTCAGATGAACGCATGCCCGACGACTGGAATTTAAGTGTGCTCTGCCCAAACCACAAGAAAGGCGACCACGCCATACACGCCAACCACCGCGGAATCAGCCTTCTAAGCATAGGTTATAAGGTCTTACCTTATCAGCCACCATATATCAGGTATTCACAATACGCAAAATCTTGGAAAAGACCCGCGAGAATAGGATCGACACACACCATTTATTTGTCGATTTCAAAGCCGCTTTCGACAGCACGAAGAGAAGTTGAACGAAGGACAAAACGAAGTATCTCCTGTCATCACACAAACAGTCAGAGCATACGCGTCTTGGCAACTACGTCACTGTTGACAGTTACAAGTTTGAAAAATTAGACGACTTCGTTTATTTGGGAACCAGCATTAACACCAATAATAATGTAAGCCTTGAAATCCAACTCACTCTTGCCAACAAGTGCTACTTTGGGCTGAGTAGGCAATTTAGAAGTAAAGTCCTCTCTCGTCGTACAAAGATCACACTCTATAAGTCACTCACCATGCCTGTGCTGGTGTATGGCGCGGAGGCATGGACAATGAAAGCATCTGATGAAGCGGCTCTTGGAGTTTTCCAGAGAAAGATTCTGCGAAAGATTTACGGACCTTTACGCGTTGGTGATGGCGAAAATCGCAGACGATTAACGATGAGCTGTATGAGCTTTACAACGATATAGACATAGTGCAGCGATTTGAAATTCAGCGGCTCCGCTGGCTTGGCCATGTCGTTCGAATGGACAGAAACGCTCCTGCTCCGAAAATATTCAACGCGGGCCGCGATGCTGGTAACAGAGGAAGAGGAAGGCCTCCTCTGAGTTGGAAAGACCAGGTGGAGAAGGACTTGGCTTCACTTGGCATTTCCAATTGGCGTCAGTTAGCACAGAAGAGAAATGACTGGCGTGCTGTTTTGGACTCGGCCAAAATCGCTTAGGCGGTTACAGCGCCAATAAAGAAGAAGTACTTACCCAACTTCCTACCACCCTAATGTACCACTATAATGTCGGTAAATTAAAGCTCGCAAAAGATCATTAATATTTTGCTAAGAAAGTATTTCGTTTCGAAGGCAATTTCATTTTTTTGGTCTTTTAATTTTTCGTCATATCTTCATGTATGAAGAATTTTGGTTTTATTTGCTGCGAGGTGGTACGTTCTAATGTGTGTACTTGATACCAGCAAATGTTTTGGTATTTGTCTAACAAAATGAAGCCAGTGAATATTTTTCAGATATTTGTTTCCATTTTTAACCGACTTCCAAAAAAGGAGGAGGTTATCAGTTCGTCAGAATATTTTTTTGTTTTTCTTCTATGTATGTTACCGCATAACTCTGGACCACGTCAACCGATTTTGATCATTATTTTTGCATTGGAGAGGTGGTGGCTCAGAGATGATCCCACACTAATCTGGTTTAGATCCGATCATTGGATCATTAAATATATATGTATATATTTTTGTAAATCGGGGTTTTTTTGCTAAAAATTACTTGTTTGTATAACCAATTGGCTTAAGACTGAAGAACAACATATTCCAAATGGCCGCCATTTTCCTCCCAGCAGCAGCAAAGTCGCTTTGGCCACTCAACGATTCCAGTGCGCAGACCACGCAATGGGACATTTTCCAATGCTTGGACAAAGGCATGCTTCAAAGGCTCAATACTTGGATGTCGAGCAGTGCAAGCCATGGTCACCAGAATCGACGATAATTTATAGTCCAATCGATTAAAATTTAGGTATCAAATGGCCAATCATCATCATGGCCAGTTTGAAACATGATTTTGTGCCTTTTGATCTGATATGGAGTCTCTTTTGAAACACCAAGCGTACGCGTTGAACCCTTGGAAAGAGTTAGGATGCATGCCACGCATATACCCCATTGTTCTGTTTATTGAATTATTATTTCAATGTTTAAATCTTTTTCAGTAAACAGAATAGCTTTGTAATCTTTTTCCGCGTACTGGCGAACAAGGCCTTCGATTGCTATATATCGCACACGATCTTCAAAAGTGACACCACTCAAAATTCGGCATTTTTAAATTATGCACTAAAAATGTACACAGGGCTTTTATTTACCTTTCAGCAAAAGCCTAAGCAAATTTTTGATATAATTTGTTGAAAAAACCTAAAGTAAAGTCTCCCTTGTCCATATAATTAGCATGTGCATTTTTACTGACGAACGTGTAATTTTGTTATCTTTGAAAAAATATCAATTGTTTATCGACTTTTTTGAAAAAAAAAAAATTATTTGGAATACTCAAGTTTTTAGCTCATAACGTAATCGTAAATTTATGATATGAGTAAATTTTTTTAATCTTTGTATCGGTTATGTGATCGAAAAAATAAAAAAACATAAAATAAAGAAAGAAAAAATAAGAAAAACCTATTAAAATTCATACACAATATGTACTACTGGAGTTACCCAGTAAAACATATGATCATCTAAAGATTAATCTTTGATCGCTTCTTTGTGAGCAATAGATTTACTCTACAAATCTCCGAGCGTCCGTTTAAACAATGCATGTGATAAGAGGCTTTTGAGCTCCTAACGGACGATTAAGGGAGTATTCTTTTGAGCTTCTTTTGACATTCGAAACGAGAAAAAAGGTAGTAATCTTCTTTTTTTTTGGAAAAACTAAGAATGCCTTAATTTCGCGCTTACTGCTGGATGGACAAGTCACTACTCCTTTACTGCTCGGTTGTAGTATTAGTCCATACAGTACATTACGGTACTTAGGCGATTTTTCTATATGGCTGCGGTTGTAGCAATTAATGCTCATAACAATTAATTTATGTTTTAGTCGTAAATCTATACCTTTTTGGCAGTGTTTGCAATGCACACTTTTATGACTACAGCACTTTCACTATACATACATACACGCGCGACTTTAAATATTGCGACCAAAACATCAGACCAGGCAAAATTCACGTCAGCATAAATTTTTTATATACCCGTATTAAAATTGTATACATTGAAATTATTTGTATAGGCTTATTTAACCATTCTACAAAGTCTCTCTCACGCACGCCAATGCACATGACTTCATAAATAAATATGTGATAATTTAGCAAAAAAAAATCACTGCCATATCATTAAGTGGCTAAAGAACTTTTGCCGGTAGAGAGCTCACCTTCTAAACAAAAGAAATGAAAAGACGCAAATATTTTAACTGTACGTTCTTGTACAAGTGTATGTTACACCGGTATAATCCAAAGAGAAGCAAGTCAATACAGATACCTGTTTTAATACACGTTGTTGTTGTAGTAACTATACATATCTACACAACTTATTACGCACCGTAGCTCTTGTTCTTGAACAATAATTTTGTTTTAAGTTTCTACTCGTCTACTTATACATATGTATGTATGTACCTATGTAATTGCAAGAGCGCTTATTTACTTAAACAATTTAAGTTTAATTTATTTTCTATTTGTTGTCTTTATTTTGCGACCGCGTAACTCACGGCGTATGATGTATTCCACTGATCGCGTTCAACTGCGCTCCAAGACACAGCGAACTGGCAGGGCAATGTCATCAGTTTGGCGATAGCGATTACCCAGCAACATACGGACGTAATTACTCGTACTTTTTTCTACTTTAAAAAAGTATATATTTACTTATATATGTACATACGTACATATTCGCAGATTGTAGTAGAAATGACAATGACACCGAGAACAAAAAGGCAACGACATAACTATGTAGGTGCATAAATACATACATTGCATTAAGTATCTATGTACATATGAATGCAAGTTATGGTAGCTGATTCATGTAACAAAGATCAGAATTTAATTATTGTTATTATTGTCGCAGAATAATGACACTACAGTAGGAATATTAATCCCGGGATTTTCGGGATTTGTAATTTGCACTGACGGCAATAGTAGAAACCGGTATTGGCTATATTACGTTTTTTATTTAATAATTAATATTTTTTATGAATGTTTAGCTCATTATATATATAACACTACGCGATAGTAAATTTTTAACACAAATTCAATATATTCGCAAACCATGGGCCAAATATAGTAAAATTGCATCTTTAGATTTCACTCTGACGTCAGTAATTCAAAATTGATTTAAAAAATTCAGAGAAATGTGCTTACAGAAGAAATATGGGTATAAAATTAAAGAGGAAATCCTGTAGAATTTAACCAGATTCAAGTTTTTGGTGCAGAAGGACTGGTTAGTATTGAAAAAGTCCTTTTAAAATTGTATCCTTGAAATTTCGCAATATATTAAAAAATTACCTATTCGTCCTTGTGAATCCAAAAAAATTATTTTTTTTTTAGATTCTAAAGAAATTTCCTCTGGCATTTGGTACCCATATTTTTATTCTACATTGCATTGATTTTTTTAAATAATTTTTGGAATTTATCATATCTTTGAAATTAAAAAGTTCTTTAAAATAAATCCTGACATCAGAGAGAAAAAATTAAAACGCCACTTTAAATAAACAAGTAATTTTTAGCAAAAAAAACCGACTTTAAAAAAAATATATATATGTATATATCATGATCCAATGATCGGATCTAAATCAGATTAGTATGGGGCCATGAACCAAAAATACAAGATCACCTAATCAAAGAAGCAAGAAAAAAGTATATTTCTGAGCGTTTTTGACATCTGCCTAAGAAAGAAAACAAACAAAGAAAACGAAAAAGGCGCTGATTGAGGCCGATGAAATTGGTATTTATTATAAAATATACAAAGTGAAACTTGATGATAATTAGCAAAAAAAGTTCATAAAATATGGTTTTCATGATTGAAAGTGTTTTACAATCGCATATCATTACCATGCGCCGATTTTTCAATGCCAACGTTCTGGCCACAAACGTGCACCCACTTTTCACGCAAATTTACGCCTTTTGCCAAACCAAACATACGCACAAACTTGTTCCAATCAAACAGCACTTCATTTTATACCATAAATATGTAATAAACCAAAATTTATAATTAAAATCGCTGCAGAAAACACATTCAATCGCTCAAAAATCACTACGAAGAGGTAGAAGACGGTGTAAACAAAACCGAAAAACGTCAAAAACGCTACGAAAACTTTTTTCTGAAAATCGATTACAAATACAACAATGGCTGATTAGGTGATCTGTAGTTGTTGGTTCATGGTATGGGACCACCTCTGAGACACTACCTTTCCGAAAATAATTATCGAAATCGGATTGACGTGGTCCAAAGTTATGCAGTAACATACATAAAAAAAAAATATTCCGACGAACTGATAACCTCCTCCTTTTTTGGAAGTTGGTTAAAAAGTAGGTTTCAAACCCATTTATTTATTATTTATTTTGTAGGAGAGCTTCTCAAACAATATAGAAGCAATTTTTTCGATTTAAGTTGTTGAAAAGTAATGAATATCCAAATACCGGGACTACATCGGGATCGGAAAAAGCTGAAAAATTTACATCCCTACACTTCAGTAGATAAATGGCACATCCATGAAGAGACACGTACTAGTGCCGAACTGTTTTGTTCAGACCATGGGAAATCAGTACTTTCACCTCAATGTTGTCATCAGAAAGTCCTCAGTACTAATAGTCAAACTACTCATTTGTGCCATACTACAGGAACAAAAGTGTAAATGTGTTAGAATTTTTGCCTGAAGTGCTCAGCAATATCTTGTAAGGGGAGTTTATGGGTGTTATATTCGTCTCACCGCCATTCTCGTGAATCAACGAAGGTACCTTATGACTCAGAGCAGACCACGACAATACAAATCATCAGTTTTTGATGCATTTTTTTGGTCGATATGGATGTGAATTACATAAACAACAATTAATTAAAAAGAAAAAAAATGGATAAGAAGAAATTACCCTTTAAATATATGTTTTGTTTCGGAACAAGTAAAAAGTATAAGTTCGAGCGAAATCGAACTTTATATACCCGGCGCAGGTATCAAATATCGTCCTGTCAACTTTCCCTAAACTACCATTTCATAATAAGCAGGGGTGTTTTTCTCGATTTTAAACGTTTTCGATAATATGCTGAGTTAGACTAAATGATATAATTGAACCAAGTTTGGTAGAAATCGATACCGAGATAGACCTTTGTAGTCATAAAGTGGGCGGTGCCACACCCAATTCCTAAAAGTCTTAAAAGTTTATTGTTAAGAGATTGTAGAAAGTACTTTCTTGGAGTCAATTTGATTCCGCAGTTATTGAAATCTCGGAGTTTTCGTATGGAAAGCGGGTGTAATTTTAGTCCGATTTGAATATTTCAACGAATTGCTTCTCCGTACTAAGATTATAACGTGCACCGAGTTTGGTCGAAATTGGTAAACCTGTTAAGGAGATACACATTCGTGGTCATAAGTGGGCGGCGCCACGCCCATTATTCAAAAATCAATAACAGTCTAATCTTCTACTAAGTTTTTATTGCAATCAGCTATTTTAAGTCACTTAGCTTCAGTAGTTATTGATTTATTGCAGTTTTCTTGTCTCTGTAAATTACCGTCATATGGGAGGCGGGCGTAATTGCCGCCTGGTTTAAAACATTTCTTAGTTGGACTCTATGCAAGGCTCGTAATGAGTAAGGATTGGTCAAGGGGCCAGAAATATCGTAGTTTTTTGAAAATACCGTTATGTGGGAGGTGGGCGTGGTTGCAGTCCGATTTCTCCAATTTTAAATAGCAACCTACCTTGGATAAAGGGCAACGTAAATACCAAATTTCGTTGAGAAAATTTTTGCTCGGCTCATCGTGTACAAGGGCAGACGGACGGACGGACGGACAGATGAACAGACAGTCACCGCTTAATCGATTTCTTTTTTCATTCTGATCATTTACGTATACATACATTTGTCTATATCTATCTCGATTCGTTTTGCCTGTTACAAACAAACGTTATGCGAACAAAGTTATAATACCCTTGTGCACAAGAACGCTCGGGTATAAAAACTGCGGCAGATCTCTAAGAAAGATTAGATTCTAAAGATTAAACACATTAGTAAACTTTTTATTCGTCGAATTACACTATAGCAACGTAAAATTTTCAAAACAAAAGGTATATCTGGCCTTGAAGTGATATTCAAATTCAGATAAACTACATTCTTAGTTTTGTTCTATTGAGCCATTTCTTCTAGGAATTGGCCTACTAAGGTTTTGGATTTTTATTGCCTTAGTAGGTGCATACATACTATATATCTTTGCCATAAGACACATATTGCTTTAATTTTTACAGTTTTTGACGTGTTAAAAATTTGTCGAATTTCAATTACGTGCTTTGTTGGCAGTTTTCTTGCTCCAGTTCAAAGTAGATATCAAAGGCCAACATTTTTCAGCCCCTGGGGTCAGCTTATACTTTTCCAAAGGATTTTGATGCGCAGAAAACTTTAACAATTACAATCAAAAATTTTAAACTTTTTTCAGAATTTTTAGAAAAATTTTAGGCATGCAGATTTTTTTTCCTTAAGCCCAGCGGCTTTTTACCCTCCATTCTCGCCCAACCGACACGAGGGACGCAGTCCGCATGACGTACGGAACCTTTTTTTTTAGTTTGTCTAAAACTATTCAGCTACAGAATCAAATTCATCAGCTCATTGGATATGGCTCCTTCCACGGTGACGGGTGTGACATTTCAACTCACATTTTAAGGCTTAATTCTAATAATAATAATAAAAAATTCTTTAAAACGAGTATTTTGTAATAGATTTCCGAGATATACACAATGCCTAGAATAAAAATTTCAAAAACAATTTAATCCGAACGAGTTATCTGAATTTTAGCCACTGTGGCGGGTGTGACGAGTACGCAAACCAAATTAGCTACTCCTTACTTGCATCAGAGTTTTTCTACTAATTATGTCTTCTGCTTATGGTTTTAAATAGTTCGTTGTATAGTTACATAAACATTCTCAACATTTACGCCAAAGTTGCTTGCCGCTATTGGAAATTATAGATTATATGTTCCAAATTCTACTGTGACGGGTGCGACTTGACTTTGTGACGGGTGTGACAAGTTGAGCATGAATACATAAATACACATCATTAGACAACTAAGCTAACTTTATTTCTCAAAAAATCAGATTTTACGAACACATACAAGATTCTGCCACCTAAAGACGGGATAATCCTTGATCGGACTCTTCTTCTCCATTGTATGCCTTAGTAATTGTAAAGTACCTTATTTTTAAATAGTATGAACCTATTACCTGTCAAACCGAGGCCGTTACCTGTAGGAACCGTTTCAGATACTTTTTTTGCCCTGACGGTTTCTTTTTATCCGTGACAGCATAGCTTAAGTTTTCCCATCGCTCGAGCAACATAACTTTATGATTAGCTTTATCATCGCTGATCACAAACAGATATATGACACATTTCAGATTAGCAGATAAGTAACGGTAGCAGTCCCTGGCAGAATTTATTGAAGTTTGTCAAACTTTAAATTGTGAGGGTGTGACATGTGACGGGCGTGACCAACATAATCGGTTCTTTTTACGAAAATAAAAGCATATAAAATACTTAAAAGCAATTCGCACATATTTCCATGTGC